GAAGAATATATCATGACAGAATCTATATGTACATATCAAATCTCATAACATGCAGATTTGATTTTTTGACTTGTATCCACAAACGAACCCTTGGAAAGGGCCATGGACAATAAGCTTCACAAAAGGGGGTCGAGTCGATCTTCACTCAAGAGGTTTAGGACCGCTTGATCGGGACACTTTATCTGCAATAAACGTTAATTATTTATCGGAAACCTTGTCACGAATATCAATTTGTAACGGATTTTTTCAAATTCATTATTTTTGTATCATAGATGTTTTACAAATTTGTTTAATATCATTATTGGTCACGGCTACACACCGTGACAAACTTTTGTTTCCAATCAAATAGATTATTTAAACAAATTTGAGTACAAACATAAAAATGATACTCCGTATGTTATAAACATTGTACATTTGGATAGGATTACTTAAGCGATTGAAGAAGCTAACTAATAAAAATACAATTGTTTATTAGATTTTTTCAGAACACCTCAGTTTATATTGTTGAATAAACAATTGAAGAGTGCACAAAAAAGTGAAGAACATGCTTACAGTTGTTTAAGATGTTTCAAATGATTCACCGGACATACATCCATTTTAAGATAACTCATGAGTGAAGTGATCAAGTTTGCCAACCAACATTACTCAATATTGAACAATTTTTTTATTTGATATTTTTATTACACGTGAGAGAGATTTCGTGGTAAGCGATATGTGGTTTCTCCTTCAAGGTTATTAAAGCTAAGAATATGCATTAAGTTGAAAAAAAATCCACCATAGCCGGTCAAATACCTATCAGGTGATTTATGATCCACACAGTTGCAGACCATTTTCACGATGTATGAATATATTGGCAAACTTTTCCCTTTTTCTAAAACAATCTCTCTCGAAGTGGCCATATGCAAGTTAACAAAGTTATGAAACAATTTGGGGTATATGCATTTAGAGTCTAACTGATTACATTGGCATAACAAATGCATTAAAAAGTTAATTATGAATAAGTTTTTGAACTGAATGAATGTTATGGTACTACTTCAGACAATAAAAAGGGTGTTTTACCAAAATACGGGAATTCTTAACATCCGTTTTCAAAAAAGCGAAGGTCGGAATTGGCCCTTCCGACCAGAGCTGAGATAGGGTTGTGAAAAAATAGGGTGTGCTTTATTTTTTGAATTTAATTAACAATACGAATGAATTAAAAAATATACTCCCTTCATAACTTAAAAACCTTCTCATTTCAAGAGTAGGTGGATTAAGAATAATGAAAGATGATATGAATTATTGAGGGTATGATGGGATGATAATGGAATAATGTGATGGAACGTAGGATAAATCCAAAAAAGTAGTTGTAATAGTGTATTATTTTATTTTACTCATTAGTGTCGGATTTGGCTCTTCCGACTAGAGGTTTATTTTATTTTATTTTTCCATCCGAATTGATTTAAATGATGAAGTGCTTTAAATTGAAAAATTCCTAATTGGCATGTGGTTTGGATGGTTTTTTTTATTAAATAAAGTTAGTTTTTTGAAATTGAAGTAATACGTATGGTGCAATTTTTAAAATGAAAAATATACATTTTGATTTTTTGAATAACAAAACATTGATTACTTTATACTACCTCTGTAACAAAAAAATCTTCTCATTTCTTATTTTTCCCATCATGCCCTCAATAATTCTAAAAATAATACACTATTACAACTACTTTTTTGGATTTATCCTACGTTCCATCACATTATTCCATTATCATCCCATCATACCCTCAATAATTCATATCATCTTTCATTATTCTTAATCCACCTACTCTTGAAATGAGAAGGTTTTTAAGTTATGAAGGGAGTATATTTTTTAATTCATTCGTATTGTTAATTAAATTCAAAAAATGAAGTACAAATTTCATTTGTTTAATGGAAGTGAACAAAACAAATGTAGTTTTTAATTTAATTTATTAATAAATAGATATTGCTTGCTCGGCCCTGGCATGTCACCTCCGCCAGTGTTCCAAAACCTCGGTGTGGCCATATTAAACTGCACAAATTAATAGAATAATTTGTTTATTTTTATATATGAAACATTGCTTTCGTATGAAAGATAAAAATAAATTATGAATTTGGTATATTTTTTGTAATAAACAGAATACAATCACAAAAGATATAACGCTTTAAAAAGAAGATAATTTTTAAAGTCTTAAATTATTTTTTGATTTTTATATATTCAATATTGGTGTCATATGAAAGATAATAAAAAGTTATAAATTTTGGTATATGTTTTGTAACAATCAGAGTACATATAAAAAAAATTACAGTAGTTCAAAGAAAACAGGAGATTTTATTTTGGGTGGGACCCATTACCTTATATTTCTTGCTTTCACCGTGCATGTCACGTGCGTTATTAACGAACAAACCAAAAAAATGGTTTCCCAGGGTCGGATTAGCCAATTCCGACAGGGTCAGATTAACCCTGCCTCTGGTCGGAAAACCCAATTCTGACTCCCGTCTTTTGATACCCTAATTAGCTTTCCCGTATTTTGGCATGTCAGACCAAAAAATCCCGCATTTTGGGAATTTTCTCCAATAAAAAGGCCACAAAGATCAAACTGTCAATACCTACTAAACAGGAACAAATGTCTAGAATCAGGGACGGAACTACTTATTGGGTGAGGGGGGCCATTGCCCCTCCCAATTTTTTATTTTTAAAATAAAAATATTACTATTACGACAAATCCCCCCCCCCCCCCCCATAAAATTAAGGAAGACGTACTCTAGTACTACCAAATTATATGGCTTTTTAAGAATACTTATCCTTGGCCTATTATCATTATATGAAAACTAATAATACATATTATTAGATGTCCTATTAAATTATATATAATACTCCGTAATACATATTATATACTACGTAATACTCCCTCCGTCTCTTAAAACTTTACCAACTTTTCTTTTTAGATATCCCATTAACTTTGTCACTTTCCCCTTTAAGTAAGGAATTTGTGGTTCCAGTTAATACTCTCTCCTCTACACAAACCTCAACCACACAACTTTTACTTTATTAATCCTGGTGCCGATCAAACTTGACAAAGTTTTATGGGACGGAGGGAGTACTTGATAAGTATAATACTGCAAATACAAGTGGAAAACATACTTGTGCAAGATTTTTAATATGTATGATTAATTTTATGTTTATTTTTTTGTTTCTCTAATTTCAAATACATTCATGGTTTACTTAAAAATTGTATACTAGATAATAATATTTTATTAATGAGCAAGTAAAATATTTTTTACTTTACAAATTTAATCATGTATATATATACAAATATTGTGTTGACCGGGTTAACTCTCCGGGTCTGGGTTGACGCTTGACCCGATCATTTGTCCGGGTCGCCTCCCGGTCCGATTGTTTAAACATAGATTATACTCCGCCCCTCATACTAAAGTCTGGCTCCGCCCCTGTCTAGAATGTCTTGTCTAAGCAATACGTATAACTTAGTCAGTTGCCATGCCATGCTCTCAAATATTGTAAACTTCATGCAATATGCAAACTAACACCTTAGAATCTTAATGCTCGTTACATGAACCACCTTAAATATCAGAAGAACTCAAATAATTACGTAGAAAACGCATAATGCATAAGGTTAAGATAGTTCACATTTATAGTCTGAATTCTATTACAATTTTAACAATACATTTTATTAAATTTTATAGTTTTGAACAAAAACAGTCTTTGATATGTCATATGAAAATCATTGTAAATAAACAAGGGTTTTGGGTGTTACATAAAAATTTGCACCTAAACTGAAAACAACATATTTCCTTTAGGGTTGCAACGACTTTCTTGAAAACTAAATACTTTAATTTGAGAACGTTTTTTTGCAAAAAAAAAAAAACTGTGAACTGCATAATAGGCTTTTTGTCAAACCGTTTATAGGCATTAAGCATATATATATTTCTGGAAAAGGCACAAGAAGAGGATTTTTTTTAAAGGAACAAGATAATATTAGCACTAAAGTTCCATGCTCTACAAAAAGAAAGGGCATACCCCTGATACAGTCTGATAGGGGCTAGCATTCAACTCATTAAACTGCATAATAAAATCAACAAAAGAAAAACCTCAAAGCAAGGCAGTTCACTCATCGGAACTGCCATTCCCGTTGCCCCCGTTCCCGTTCCCCCTGTTCCCATTCCCCCCGTTGCCGCCTGAACGGCCGTTGGCTGCATCTGGCCGGGAGCTGCAAGACTCCATAATCAATTTGTTCCGACAACTTCGTCATCTGCTCCAACTGCTTTCCAAGCTCACTGTTCTTGGCGAGAACGAGCTTTTCGGCCAGTCCCTTCAGCGTGTTGTCCAACCCGAATTGGTACACGGAGTACACGATCCCCGCCATGGATGCTCCACTACTGCCGTGGCCAGTCAACACACCGACTTTACTTAGGAGGTCCCATAGAGCTGAATTCTCTCTCTATTTTCAAGAGAGACGAGATTGTGGCTTTTGTTGAAGGGTTGAGATGGATTTCAGCAAGTCCATTGGGAATGGAGTTAACATGACCGGCCAACATGAATAGTTCTTCCCAAACCTGCCAAAAGGAGCAAATCCGTCTGAGCACAATCCCAGCCGCACATTTCGTGGCTCCATAGCAAACTGAGGATGACAACGGTCAAAGTGTCTTCAAGCTTCACAGTCTGAAGGGTGAGCCATCATACTCTCATTGGTTTCGTGCTCAACATGCCATGTCATGTGTTTCGCAGTAGCAGTCGAAGCGTACATCCTCTGCAGTCGAGGAGCTATTGGGAGGTAATACAGTTTAGACAGTGCCGACCTATGTCGTGGTTTCTTTTTACTTTGAAGAACAGGTTTGTATCTGTCTCCACCACAGAACTTGCAGAACTCAAGTGCCCCATCCTCCTTCCAGAACAACATACATCCTTCCGGGCACGCATCAATTTCGACACAAGGTAGCCCAAACTTAGACATTAACTGCTTCATGTGGTAATATGAATCGGGAAGGGTATGATCACGCGGTAGCATCCCTCCTACTGACTGCAAGACTCTATTCATGCAAGTTTCAGGGAGACTGTATTCAGCTTTTATGTTCATAAACTCTGTAACGGCGGATAGCTGAGTGTATCCCTCACAATCAGCATACAGAGGTTGGTCGGCAGCTTTTAGAACATCCTGAAATCTCTCAGCCAAACCTTCATCCACATAAGGTTGATAAAATGACGGATTTTCATCCGCATTTGGTACGAGGTCGAGGCTTCAGGGGGGTCGTTAGATGGTTGTGGGGGTTGAACTGAGACATCGGTACACCGTATGCGTCATATACCATTGCTTGTTCCCACCTCATTTCAGCACGGTCTCCCCACCCACTCATCTCTGGAGGGACGTAACGAGACGAACCTACCGTTTGTGGTATAACAGATGGATCCAAAGGTTCACTGTGAGAAGTCCAATTATAATAATTGGGAACAAAACCGACCGCGTACAAATCATACCCAACTTCGTGTGGGTCTTTAAATTTGAGATTTTTACACTTTGAACATGGACATATTATTTTATCACCACTCATATAAGCTGGATGTTCAAGTGCGAATTCAATAAATTCCCCGACTCCATCGAGAAAATTTGATTGCATTCCGTACAATATCGCATCTTTATCATACATCCAACTTCTATTTTGTTTATACATTATGCCTGAATATTATAATAAAAAATTATACAGGTTCAAAACTAAGGTAATTAATGTAACAATAATACTACGTTTAACTAATTATAAGTAATTTATTTCACTAAATAATCAACTAACTAATTTTCACTAAATTAAATGAAATGCACACAATTCACAATAATAATGCACAAAATATAAGTAATTACCTAATACTTAAATTTAACTAATATTATAAAAAATTTAAGTAATTTAACACTACATTTAAATTAAACCTTCGTTTAACTAAATTTAACTAATTCATTTCGTTAATTAATTAACAACCTTTTTTTAAACACATTTCAATTAAGTAATATTTAAATTTAACTAATATTATCAAAAGTTTAACGAATCTAACTTAATTAGTTAAAACCTACGTTTAACTAATTAATTTTACTTAATGCATCACTACGTTTAAACCTACTAGTTTAGCTAACTACTAACCTCCAAATGTTAAGAAAAATGAAATGTTGGTACGCTCATACCAATAACCTCACTGCTTCACAAGCCCGTATTTCATGTTTTAAAGATGTACAGATTGCATTATTTCAAAGTGATCTAATTATATATGGATATAGCTAGAAGTTATTAAATCTCTAGAAATCTGACCTCATTATTACATGGACCATGTGTTGACATTGAAGAATGCAAACCATTGTTAGTCTCTGCTGCAGTTGATAAAAATGTTGTAAAAGAGTTCTGATGATTTTGTTGGAATTTAGCAAGGTTATCAGAAGTTGGAACTTTTGCTCCATTCATGTCATTTCCTGATGATTTTTTCCCTTTTTTCAAGGGAGAATGAGTTATTTTTCTTCCACAGCACCATTCTAACCCAGGTTTCATTTCTGGAAATACTCTCAAATGCTTTTTGAGAAGACTTTTCAAAATTTACAATCATATATTGAAGCTTTGTCTAGCATATATGGAAATGAAAATGTAATCAATCCTTTTAATCATTATTTTCAAATAGATAAAGCATTGAGACAAACTAACAATTGGGTCAATTGTCATCAGTCTCAGGGTCCAACTTTTTTTATTTCTTAATTTGCCTAGTTTCAATAAATACTTCAACTCCAGTTGGAGATCGACTCTCTGTTCTCTTTTCTTGCACACTATACAAGCAAGTAATTAGATCAATATAATAATGCAATGTGACAAATAAATACTCAACTTCGAAGTTTAGCAAGTCGAATACCAATATTTCTCTTATACAAGCAAAGCTTATCGGTCCAACTTGATGCCTTCATTTCTGTTGAGATCAATTTTGGGCATTTCAATGACTAATTCCCTATTAATGTTATAGAGAATGCATATCATTAACTTTAAAAGGAGAATCTCGAAAACCTAAACAAAAATGCAGAAGTGAGCTCAAGATTAGAGTTGAGCCCGAGCGAATAAGAAAAGGAATGTTATACCTTTACAGTTTCTAGCTTCCAATATTCTATCAACTCTTTAAAATGTTCTCCAGGTATCTTCTTAGAACAACTTTTTCGGACAATCACACAAGCTCTTATACTTGGTAATTGATCCTTCTTAATGGAATATCTATGTCAAGCATCATTAATTACAGCACCACGTTATTTTTTCCTTTATCATGAATGTGGGCGGTATCTTTTCTACAAATCAAACGTTTTTTACAGAGAAATCTAAATGAATAAAGTGAAACTTCCAGAAAGTTCGATTGAATTCATGTGGATATTAGTCATTCAAAGAATTCAGCTTTCTTACCTAGAATTTCTGAGAGCTTCTAGATGAAACTTTTTACTCCATTTGCTTTGAATAAGTATATTGACAATGTCTCGTGGACAGAACTTTATGAAATCTTTTGAGGTGCTAAAATTTTCATGATGTTAATTTAGTTCGAGTTAAGATTGAAACTGATTCTAAAGTTTTTTACTACATCCGATATTATGAGACTGAGACAATTATTATTTCCTTGGACAACAACCAGTTTTCTTACTTGAATAGTAGGCCTTAAATATCATTGAGTTTAATCCAACTTAATAAATGAGTTAGTACAAAACAAGCTCATTTAGTGTTAAACATTAAAAGGTTGGGATTTTTTCAAGAATATTACTAAAATAAAACATATTTACATAAATATGACTATTTATTACTACAATGTGGTGTTGTGGTAACTAAAACTCAAAACTTGAACATGAATTACTATGATTTCATTACTACTCTAGTCACTAGTCATATTTTTGTAAATCATCTTTATTTTGATCATATTTATGTAATTATTTCTAAAAGGTTAAGCAAATATAAGACATATAGAAGGTGAGTTTTCTTCTACACTTGCATTTAAAATTAAAATTGCCTTACATAAGTGTTTCTAATGAGCACAATAAACTCTGAACACAAAAAGATTATATAAATGAGAAAACTGCATCTAAGGTACGAGATTTTCTACCCACACATATATAGTACGGAGTACCTTGGATAAAAGAACAAGAAGCAGTCCTCCTTAAGTCCTTAGATTGTTAACGTGAAAATAGTTTAGCAAATTTCCAAATCATGAATTCATGATTCTGTTTAATAACAAGGTCATTTAAACTTAACAAACACCTAAATGAAATTCTTATAGAAGCTAAATATTCAGTTGTGTAGAGAGTCCAAGAGGGAATTGATTACAAAAATGATTTTCAGGGATTTTTTAAAACTTAACAAACACCCAAAATACCTAGTCATATTTAGAATTTTGGTCAAGTATATATTTTTATTAACATTTACTCCCTCCGTCCTATTTATGTTGTCCCGTTTTACCTTTTCGAGAAGTCCCACTTAAATTGTCTCATACCATATTTGGCAAAATTTGTGTGACCCTAAATCATTCTTACTTTATTCTTACTTTATCAATTAATATCAACCACACAAACCCACTTTTCTTAATAACTGTGTCACCCTCTTCCGGGACAATATAAATGGGACAGAGGTAGTATTTATAAAATTAAAAGGAATTGGAAATGTTTCTTGTTTAAAGTAATTTCATAAAAGTATAAAACTTATAACTTTCAATAATATCGTACTAATCAAAATCATGATACAAACTGAGATGTTTGAGTGTTTTGGGACGAAAGTCGTAAATGAAATTAAGCCCTTTCCCTTTTCTACTTCTCCTCCCTCTGCCGGTGCAAGAATCCATCAATATCTCCTTGATTTATTTATGCTAAAGTGTCTCAAACAAGTTCCAAATGACGGTCAAAAGAACCCATTACCCATGTGAAGAAGGGAACAAAAAAGGTGACCAATATGAGAATTGCCGATAAAATTCAGTAAAAGCATTGACAGTAAGAGCCAAATGTCACAACGCACAATTTAAGTGCGGGATTGGTGGCGAATGAAAACAGTTTGAAAATAATTCATTACTTTTTTTTTGTTTTCAACCAAACACCATTCAGGTTGAATATGACAACAACAGCAACAAAATGATGATTATAATATACTACGTAATAAATAATACCACCAGTAATAATAAAATATTTTCTTGACAAGGAAATTGTTGCTTCCTATAATCCTATACTCATTACTTTCTTGATTTCGTTTTAGTTTATTATTATTGTTATAGACTATAACAATGTCATTTTAAGTATTACACTCGATGCCCAAAATCCCCAATCAGTCATTTCAACGCATGCTTCTATTTCAGCCATTAAACAGGTTGGTAATTGTGCTGTTAAAGTCAACTAATAATTGAACAAACATGAATTGAGACAATGCCTATGCCTGGTGTATTCAACAGAACGATCCAGAAATGCACAAAGATGATGCAATACATATAGTAGCATGTCATTGTTTTCACTGTTCATAAGCATTATAATCAAAGTATTACACTTACAATAGGAAGAAGAATTTACAACATTCACACCAGAGATGTGAAATAAAAATTACAAATCCAGTACCCCATATCATAATCTATTGATCGAATCAACCCACTCAAGCATTGACAGTTGTCTATTTAGTGGACCATTAGCTTTTTTGAGTGGATCCCACCTTATATATAGGCGCCCCTTAAAATGCACAAACAGCAATTCTAAATGCTAAAATGGATGACACATTGAGTGTTGGGTGTTCCTTGAACACTTCAGTATTTCTCAATTTGGAACTCAAAATAGACCCCGAAGAATAAGTTATGAAAGTACTCATCTTGGATTTTACTCTGGTTGTTTTTTTCTTCTATCTTTCCTGTGCATGGACTGGAAACTAGTAAATAATTTTATCGAATAAGGGATTTAATCTAATGCACTTTTTTCCTTCTGTAAAGGTTTAGGTATGTATAAACAATAAAAACCTCTGGCGTGTTTCATGTCATGAAATTTACCTAAGGCTTTGTTTGGTGTTGCTTCTGGTATTGGTTGACCAGAATTTTTGCATAAAGGATTTCATTCCAGATGTCAGGCACCCCTGGCAAGCACCAATGGCTGCAATCTTGGTACAACATTGGAGATTTCCGCTCCTCGTCGGACAAATGTTGTTTCCTGTACATTGATGGATGGCCATCCTTCCGGAAATCTGTCATTCTTGTGACATTAAGGTAAGAGACTTGAGTCTTCATACCCTTCAGTACTCTCTCCAACACTTCCATCTTGGGTGGGTATGCCGTTAGGTACGTCTCGTTCTTTATTGGTTCCGCTTCATGGTCACATGCCCCACCAGAATTCCACTGCCCACCGCTGTTGAGCCATTGGCATACATAAATTTTAAATTTCAAGGCTCTTAAGATAAGGTGAATGTGCTGAGAAATGTGGGATTTCAAAAACATAATGCAGTCCTTGTTAAGAGGGGGTTCAGTAAAGCTAAATTCGACAGAATTTGATTAATTGTGGTTGATGTGAATTGTCATAAAAGATTTAATAATAGTTCAAAATTTATTTCTGCGATAAGTTAAAGAACAAAATAGTGGGTATAAGCGTCATTAACAACTAATCAATTTACCAAAAAAATTATGGTTTAAAGAATACATAGGAGTTTGATTCAGAGCTCATCTGGTAATCCTAAATTTGGTTCATTTGATAAATTACAGGTTTAAGGATTGATGTAGCTGAACTATAATTAAAAACGATTTTTTGAAATATATTCTCAAATAAAACATATTAGCAATCGGGTAACGGCAGTCAAATAAGCTTGTGTTTTGTACATAAAAAAGGTAACACTGCTTGATAAGGAAAACATTAATGTCACCAAACTGGGCATAAGAGTATTGAACAAATATATTATTTACCTGAAATGAGATGCAGAATAACCTCTGAAGAGAACAAATGTTTTTGCAGGATTTATATGGCCATCCACCCATCTTGCCCACGTAGTTAAAGCCTTTCGGAAAGCCTCGAGAACATTTAGTTCATGGTACACATGACTACCTTCTTGGTAATAATCCTCCCTGAAACATTAAACGTCATTTGATTATTCCACTTGTGAGAGAAAAAGCTCATTGGTATCATTTCAGGTTTCCAAACATGTACTTACCCTTTAGAAGTCTTCTCGTGTGTCCACCAGTGGCCAGTGTTGAAAACTATGATGTCTGCATTTTCATATTTATTAGCAGAATGCCCAACTAAATCAAGACGGAGTGTTTCCTTCTTCTTTCCATTTCCATCAGGTATTTCCCATTCTTGAACCAAGAATGGAGATACAAAGAATTCCAATTTGAACTCATACTCCTGCATATGCATCGATACGATTCAGATATAAAGCAATTTCCTACAAAAACAGCATGATGACAAAAAAGGAACTCCCAATTAGACTACTCACTTCAAACACAAAAGAGTACGAAGCTTCTCCACGAAAATATTGTTTGCCAGATTCTTCGTAAACTTTAGTCTGATTCTTGACAGAGTTTCTGAGAATGCAAACAAGAGATTCCCACATATTCCTGTTCAGAGAATCGCCAACAAACACTATTCTCTTCCCTCTCAACATCTCCAGCATATGAGTGGCATTCAATCTGTGATCAAGTTCATAGCAATCACATAAGAGTCTGCCTATAGAGCCAACGCCCAGAACAACTCAACCAAACACTAGATAATGGAACGGGATACTCTATTCCAATTGTTGGGTTTTAGCTTATGAGAAGAAAAATGGTTTCCATATTAGCAAATAAAAAATTAAATTTTTATATACGATGAATTTTAATAATCTATCAAACAAAGGGATTTTTAATAGTAAGAACAGATTAGTCAAACGTTTTAATAATCTCCATTCCTGATTAGGTACAATTTGAAGTGAAGTCCAAACATTAACTTACATAATAAAATCAGATAATCAAGACTGCATATCAGATAATATAAAAACGGCATATTACCTTGGGATGGTACAAGCTTTAGGTTTCCATCTATATTTAGGGTACTCTTGATCGGGTCTTCCATTGATAAAGCAGTTGAATTGCTCATCAATGAGAGAACAAGAGCCTGGCTTGTACAGAGGGTATGATTCGTCCTTAACCCAATTCCCATCAAAGAAATCGCAATTCAACAACGATTTCAGCATATCCTCACTAGAACCTGTCCCGTTGTTGTGTTTCTTCTCCAAAATTGCCTTCTCTCCCTTCTCGGTCACATTTTTATCAACGGGAACGGGCTTTGGTAGAGAAGGGATGGTCAGATTCGCCTGAGGCTTTTGACTTTCGTCAATTGTAGTCCGATTAGAGTTCACAGGTCCAGCTTTACTATCATCGGAAGCTTTACTCCGCGTCTGGTTGTTTACACTTGATGATTCGTTGTTCAACCGAGATGGAACCGTTGAGTTCAAAGCAGTGCTATAATTCGACGGCTTCGATGCTTGAACACTATCACCAGTAGAATTGGTCAGATTTTTCGAGGTTTCTGGATCTGTAATGAAATTGAGCACTTCAGAACTGTTTTTCTGCGATGCCGGGGGATTATAGGGAGGAGGAGCAGTAAGGTTATGAACTTGCTGAGACGAATTCGGGAAAAAATAAGAGAAAATCGAAGAGAACTGAGATCCGGAAGTGTCATTGGAGTATGTCGGCGCGGATACAGTCCCGCCGCCGCCTCCATCGCCGTTTGCGCTGCTAGTTAAAGAAAAGATGTTGGTGAACCAAGGAGACGAGGAGTTGGGGGAAGGGCTAAAAGCCAGGAAAATGGTGAAAGCAATGAAAACAAAGACGAACCCGAACACACAAACCTTGGTTCTCTGGGTTTTGATTAGTGAGAAATGTGGTTTCAGTTCTAGGAGTAGATTTCCGCCATTAATGGGAACATACTTTGTAGTTTCAGCCATCTGGAGAAGGAGGTTGTTCTGCGGGAGAATTGCAGCTGATGCAGAAGAGCGGAGAAGACGATCAATCAGAGAGAGAGATAGAGAGGGAAAGGGTTTCACTGGGAAAAAAGTTAACGTTACAGTGGAATACAGATTACGGAGCAAGTAAAACTAATGTTGTTTATTTCAAAATGGGGGCAAACGTGTCAAAACATACGGAGTCGCATATGTATGGTTGGAGTCTTTTGTCTTTTACTCCAGTTTTCTATTCAACAAAAGGTGCATTCATATGGACCGGTGGGGTAGTTCAACTGGTAGCGAGGGAGTGCAACAAGGGTTAGGTTTCGGGTTCAAATCTCGTCAACTGCGATGAGAGGTTACTATGTTAAAAAATGCATAGGCCCTCTGCAAGTACCGGGGACGGAGCCACACTCTCTATCTGTCAGATTGTGATTATAGTCCAATTTACATCCTCCCATCGTGCCGTCCGGTCAGTGTTAGGGGGCCCTCAGGGATGGGGTGTCATCCTTTTTTTTAATGTGTGATATGGAAACTTGCTTTTATACATGTCATTTATTGGGTATAAGGATGTTTTACTTGGACCGTGATATGTTGGTTTGGTATGGTCTAGTCTGTTTAAGTTTGATCTGATCTGGTTAATTAAACGTTTGGTCTCTGTGTATTTTATAATTATGGAAATCAAGTCTGGTCTGGACATATAAACGTCTGATCTCTGTGTATTTTATCCCTAATTTAATTAATGAATTATTTAACCTAAATAATTGCTCTGTAGTTGCATTGCACAACCAGTGCAGTCCGTTGGTGGCGAGGCAGTCCGTGGTGGGGAGCAAAAGACTCTGATAGCGGCAGCGGCGCACATAGGGATGGCCTCGGGCCGGTTCGGGCCTAGGCCCGGCTGGGCCTCAGTTCAGAAAAATGAGGCCCGAGCCCGAACCGGTGGTGGGCGGTTCCGGGTCCGGTTCCGGGCCAGACCGGGCCGGGCCGGGCCGGGCCACCCGGATTTTTAATTTTTTTTTTCTTCTCTTATTTAACCCCCTCCCCCTCCCCAAACCACCCCAAACCACCTCAAATGGCCCAAAATACCTAATCCAACCCAAAACTTTAAAAAATTTCAAAAAAAATTAAATTCTGGCCCGAACCGGCCGGGCCGGTTCACCAAAACATAGGCCCGAGCCCGAACCGCCCAAAGGCCAGGCCGGTTTGACCCGAACCGCTGGGCCCACCGGTTCTCGGGCCGGGCCGGGCTCAACAGTAACCGGGCCGGGCCGGTTCCGGGTCGGGCCGCCCGGCCCGAGTCCATCCCTAGGCGCACATCTCTACTGAAGGCGATGGCAGCGGAAATGCTAGCAAGCCGCTAGAAAATTTCTGAAGAATTCCCGACAGCGGCGGGTGGCAGGCGGCAATCCGGCATCCCAGGGACGGAATTGGTAAAGGCATGTGAGGGTATTTTAGTTCAGTGACAAATAAAAAGTCTTATTTATGATAGTTTAAACTAATTGGTACTATTAAGGTAAATCTCACATTTACTCTTTATTCATGTCACGTGTATTTTATCCATGTCATTTGTATTTTTTACACATGACTCTTATTTTATGTGAATATAAAGACAATTCATTTAAAAAGTATATAAATGGAAAATTATTGGAAATTGTCTTCAATAGACGTGTAAAATGACGTGTATATGTATGGACACTAAACACGGATGATGTAATATTGTCATATATATATATATATATATATATATATATATATATATATATATATATATAGGAAAATAATCAAGTAAGGTAGGCCTAAGAATTGAAATTCTTAGGCCTCTTTTATCTGAGGTGCTTTTGAGATGAATTTTTTGATGAAATTTTGTGAGCATGTTCTCCATGAAGTGTTGATTATGCCCACCAATTTTCGAAAAAAAATTCAATCGGGAAGTCGGTTTAATAATTTTTTCAAAATTGCGCAGGTTTTTAAAATACAGTTTTTTTTCAACAATTTATTTAAATGATTTCCCGATTGAATTTTATTGTGAAACTTGGTGGACATCATCTTCAATCCATGGAGAATATGCTCACAACATTTCATAAAAAAAATCGACCCGGAAGCACCTCAAATGAAAGAGGCCTAAGAATTACAATTCTTAGGCCTACCTTATCTTAGCATTGTCCTACATATATATATATATATATATATATATATATATATATATATATATAAAGATCAGGTCCCTCCGGAGGGACGGGAGGGACCGTCCGAACTTTACTGTTTGGGGCGGTTCCCGGTGGAATTTTTTGATGAAAATTTTTGAGCATGTTCCTCATCAAGTCTAGTTTGTGCATACCAAATTTCAGCTCAAAATTCGACCGGGAAGTCAGTCAAATAAATTCTTGAAGCTTACTGCACATTCTGCGCATATATAAAGTGCAGTAAGTTTCAAAAATTTATTTGACTGCCTTCCCGATCGAATTTTGAGCTGAAATTTGGTATGGATAAACTAGACTTGATGAGGAACATGCTCAAAAAAAATCATCAAAAAATTCTACCGGGAACCGCCCCAAACAGTAAAGTTCGGACGGTCCCTCCCGTCCCTCCGGAGGGACCTGAGCATTTTTGTGTGTATATATATATATATATATATATATATATATATATATAGTGTGTGTGTGTGGTTCCAATGAGAACGTGAGAACACTCACGTTTAAATCAATGTGGTGCACAAATGAGCTCTTCTGTTGCATATTTTCAATTAGCTCGAAATAAGAATCTATTAAAGAAAAACGCTGACATTTTGGTAAATGCTATGAAAACGCGAAAAAGTGCAGTATTCAAGCTTCATTGTGCAACACGTTGGGATAAATGTGGTGTTCTCACGTTCTCACGTTAAACACTGTTCTCATTTGATCTTTATTATACATGTGTGTGTATCACTAACATTTTTTCATGCTTCTTTTTGTTGTCTATTCGCATATCAGACTATCTGCAATCATTCTTAGTTAATAAATCAAATCCACAATCAAGACATTGTGTATACACTATGGGATGATGTGGATGATATTATTTGAGTTTATGAATGAGAATATATGGGCCTTGTTTGGTAAATGGATGTTAATTGTTGTTGTTAGCTGGTTGTGTCAGTTGTTTATAACAACTTGTTCTGTTAGCTGTTTTGACCGGCTATTATGTTAGTTGATTATAAATAACGGTTTGGTAAAATTGGCTGTTTCGAAATGGCTGATAGAGTATAAAGACATATAAAGACATAATAATACCCATTGTATTTTATTATTGCTAAGAATGAAAATTTTATAACTATTATTGTTACTTCAACGATATAAATCATTTGTATAATTGGAAATTTTAAAATTTGTTGAATAAAATCTATTATAATATCTACTTTGATGTATGAATGTTCATCATACTACAAAAGTTTATAGTATCCAATTTTATAACCACTCAATTATCTAAACCAGAAACATTAAATTAATTCAAGATAGAGAGCATAACTAATAATATAAAATATTAGTTAAGCATATATTATTTGTCGAGATAGTACTACCTATTTGATTAAACAAGTTTTGTTTAAAATAATTAGAGTAATTATTAGTATATATTACTTTAATGATTAATTTAAAAAATGCTAACTCAAAACAATGAAAGCAAAAGGAGGAAAAAAAGAAAAACTGGTAAGCAAAATAACTGGGTTGACTAAGTTAAAAAAAACGAGCAAAACCACAATGGCACAATGGGAATAAATTGGAGCTATATGTAGTCACTTTGGGAGCTTCGAGCTATACCCTTATGGGAATAAATTGAACCAGATGAATGAAGAAGTTGCTTCCCTTAGCTTCTTCAACCATCCATTTTTTCAATTTTTCAAACTCAACAAGCTAATTTTAAAAGTCATTTACCAAACATTATTATTAGCTTCTTTGACTAATCAAACAGCTAAAATGGGTCAAACACGCTAAAAGATGGCTGATAAGCCATTTGCCAAACATACCCATGATTATTTGGAAAGATCATTTTCTAAAATATTCTGGTATCAAATATTGAAGCTAGATTATTTGGAGATTTTTAGCAAACCTTTTAGTTATCCGTGCAAATTCATTAAAAAGCATTAATGATATTTTCTTTTGAACTGTTTTCAGACCAGATCAGACCAGACTTCTGTAGTTATAAAATACACAGAGACCAGACGTTTTACAGACCAGACCAGACCAGCAAATTTCAGTCTAAAAGAAAACATCCGAAATACAAAACCATTGAAGAAAGGAATTCCATATACGTTGAACATGTATGATGCGGCAATGAACCGATATTGTGTATTTGTGTCTATTTGTGTACGTGTGTGTATATATATATTTTTGATGTATGTCCCACAAATAATCTCATAACTAAAGATAATGGTTGAGAAGAATTAATAATTTTAAAGATTTTTTCAGATTATCTATGTGGTAGTGATGTGGCAAACAAAATCTGTTTAATTAAAGTTCAACAATCGAGATGCTCTTAGAAATGCTCAATCACTCATTGACATGGCTTGCGAGGGTTCATACTTGCTTTAGGGTTCGGTTCATTACAAAAACATTACCGGATTGATACGGATTTATCGATAATTTCGTGCCAAATAGTTTGTGTCAAACTGTTTTTTGCTCAGATTCGGCATATCACTGCCAAAATTTCTGTCAATTTTGAAAAATCCCTGCCAAAAATGTCTGTCGTTCATGTATTTTTTTGTAATGATTTTAAGCCCTAGTAAACGAGTTTCACAATAGTGTGTCTTCACCATAGAGTGATAGATGGGTTGTTATGTCTGTTTATTAGAAAGTGTCTCACTACTAATTGAAAAACAAAACGAATTTCTTCAATTAAAGATAAAGGACACATTCATTATCAATTAAAATGTGGAAAATAAATAGGTGTGTCTTCAATAATTTTGCTTTTCAGCCGAGGTGATCGAGCTTCACAATAGGTGTGTCTTCATTAATCTTATTTTTGTTAAGTTTTTCCATAGGCTAAAGGGTCAAATAGACTCCGGTATCAGTTGTATAAGCTCAATTCAGTCCCTGAACTAAAAAGGATCGAATTCGCACTCCGAATTGGCAAAACCAATTCAAATTTCATTCTTTACAGGTAAA